CGCGCCTCACCCAGCCAGTGAGCGGGAACCGGTCTGTATGTGGGATCCGAACCCTCGGGCGGGAGCGCCGCCACGCTTCCCAAGCGGCGCACTATCCAGTGCGCCACCGGGCCGGCCCTAATATCATTTGTTTTAAGACATCTTTTTTTTCCCCCACTTTTATAAGAGGCTGTTGTAGTTAGCAAAAAAATGGTACCGACATTCATAATACCTTCATTTTTAGGAATCATTTTTACAGAAAACAAAGGTAATTTTCTTTTATTAGAAAACAAAGGCCATATTTAATACATCACCAGATGTGAGAAATGTGCCAAATAACTGTAAAAAATTAGTCTTAAAAAGAAAACAGCACAATGACAGAAAACATGACACATCACAACTCTTAAGGAGCCCACAACCAGACTAACTGAAAATAAACACACTCCTCCCCACCCCCTACACGCACATATGTACAGGTTATGCAAAGGTTTATAAAACACATTAGAAGAGAAAGATGAACATACTCACATATACGCAAGTGTACCTGTTTTCCTTAAAAACATAACATGCTTTTCCTTCATTTTACTCAGCTCAAAGAAATTTGACCTAAAACTACTTTGTGGCTAACACTATAAATAGGAAATATCATAAAGGAAGTTTACCTTTTCTTGGTAACAGTTAACTGCAAGTATATAAAAAGTGTTCTGTATTTTTTAGTGCAAAATCCACATACAAACAGAAGTTGTTATATAGTGCTTGCCATTTAATTGTAACATGTTACCAAAAAGCTTTATACAGTACTATTTTTACATTACAGTAGAGGAATGTCAATGATGAACAGGTGATCAGTGCTTCTGAACTTTCCTAGTACTTATCTATGGAGATCTAAAAAGTACATATATTTAGATTTATAAGGAATTGTCTTCTCCCCACTGATGAAGTGCTCCCTGACTAAAGAAAAGCCCCTGCAGGCAGACTGGTGTCTCTTCAACCACTGCCATTTTCCAGGAGTCCTGACACATGAGGTTTCTTCACTGAATCTTACAGTTCTCGCTGCCCTTGGGCTCAAGTCCAGCTGCTGGGCTACAGGAAAGTGGGCCTCGCCTGGCTCGCAGGCCCTCTCTGGGGCTGTCCTCGGGGACCTTATTGACTGAGAGAGATTTCGTGGTGGGTTCTCGGAATGCAGTGCCTGAATCCGCAGGGCTCTTTTGAGCAACCTTGACCTGCAACACAAACATCTTTGTTAGATGTCCAAATCACATTCACATTTCTACAACATGAATAATAAAGCTCTACGTCACCAAGCTTCTCTAGGAGATGTACACAATTTTAGTATTTCTTCTTCCCTGAGAATGGGCTCCACCTGATAGAAGTCAGGAGCATGTCAGACGTGACCTCTAACAAGTCATCAATATTTCCTTGACACCTTTGATGGCCAGAGACTTGCTCCCAAGGCAAGTGTGACATTTTAGTGCAGAAAGTAAGTGCTTTGAGAACTATATCCTATTCATATATGCATCCCTAGTGCCCACAATCTACCTGACACACGGTAAACATTCGATAAACCTCTCAGTGAGAATTCAAACCTGCCTCCCTTTGTCTTGAAACTTCTGCTGTCTTTTAAAATGAATATAATCCAAACGAGTAAAACCACTGTATTAGTCCATTTATGTTGCTTATAACAAAATACACAGAACTGGATATTTTATAGAGAAAATGAAATTTATTGCTTATAGTTTCTGAGGCTAGGAAGTCCAAAGTCCATCTGGTGGTAATAACAGTGACCCAGGAGTCTCACATTGCAAGATGGTGGAGGCAGAGAGATCAGAGAGAGACAGACTCTCTTCTTTTTTTTAAAGCCTTCAGAACCACGCCCCTGACCATTTTTAATCCATTCACTACAGCATGGTCCTATAATCTAATCACCTCTTCAAAGTTCCACCTTTCAATTACCATAATAGCATTTCCCACCCTCAACAGTCACAATGGGGGCTAAGTTTCTAATACATAAAACTTGGGGACACCATTCAAGCTCCAGTGAGTTTTGTGGGGAGCATAATTCAATCCACTACAACCACTTTCACAAGGCAGAAGTTTTACTTACAACATTTAAGACCTAGAACTTATTCCTCATATAATGATATGTTAACCATTCCCCTTACACTGTTGTTTGTTTCCACACTGAATTTGGGTTATATCAGACGGGCAGATATCTGACAGTAAAGTCCAGAAAGAATAAACCCCCTCTCTGATGTTCTGCTTTTCAAGAGAAAGAGGTATCTCAGAACACATGAGACTTTAAGGAGTAGATGAGAAGGTGGGTAGTTGGTGAGTCAAGGTTTTTTGAGATTTGTATAGTAGTGAAAAAAGATATGGGGTCAGAAAAGAGAAAGAAGGGCAAAAAAATGAAGCACTGAAAGCTTTACTTAACCAAAGTTAGAGGCAAGAGTGGAAAATAATAAGATTTTTAAAAGAAAAAGACGATGTTGAAAAGTAACTATGAGACACTCCCTGAGCAACTGCCTTCCAGGGACCCCCTTCTGAAGCAGGAAGAAAAGAGAATGGAAATTACATTCCCATTTATACTCTTTCCATAGGAAGTATGTCGTTTTAAAAGGCAAATACTTTTCATTACAGAAAACATAGTAAATCTGGCCAACAGATCAAATCCCTAGAAAGCCCGCTTCTACCTCAGATTATGTGCAGGACACTAAAAAGGAGCAGCCTTGAAGGACCAGGACTTAATGGAAAATTATCATTTATGGAAAGTTGAAGGGAAAAAAAACAGTTTTACCAGTACTTTTTCTTTTAAAGAGAAACAGTGATACCAAAGTCAGATGTTTCCCTTGAAACTCACTAGTGTAGAAGAGTCAAATCTTTAGGTTCACCACAAAAAGAGAGACAGAGACATCACATAGGGAAGAGAGAATCTGAGCCAGTACAACTTTTTCTTAATCCCAATTAAGAGGCTCAAGTCCACTCCCTGCTTCTTCCCTCTAGTCTCAGTTTCTCTGGTACTGAATTGAGGAAACTGAATTCTGTGATCGGAGTTTTAAACTGTGGATTTGATGTGCATGTTGGTCAGTTAGCCTCAGAATTGTCCATAACCAGACAGGGAAGGGCAAATTCACCAAGTATTTCATCTACAACAGTGCATCCCTAATTACCTTACAAATGTTGTCACCAGCCACAGAGGGGAGAGCGAATATGAAGTCAGCTCAGTGAAAATGAACCTCACTCATTTAAAAAAAAAAAAAGGCCCCCACTAAACTGCTGACTGCTGCTGTGGTGACAGCACCACCACCATCCTTGGTAGGCTTTACAATTTAGAGGCTGGTCCTCTGGCACAGACCACCAAGCCCAGGTTCAGGAGACCACATTTACAATCACTGACCCCCTTGTCTCTAGCTAACTAGGAGTTCCCGGGCTTAGTCATCCCAGTGATATAATAAACAGAGAATGATCCTCCCTAATCTCCATTTTATCCATTTATTTCTCCTTTGTACTTGTCGGATGTCACTAACAGTCCTGCTAAATGACCTAGGGAATCATCTCTCAAAACCCAACCAGTCACCTCAGGGAAAAGAGCTCGTAATCCTGAGTTTCTAAGCAACTGCTTTAGGAAATAATACCTTACTCTATATTTTTAAAACTAAATGATGAAATATGCTTAACAGATGAGGCAAGCATTTTACAGGGCAATTCAGAAAATGCTGAATTAAATTAAAATCACTAGGCTAGGTTTTGAAGAGTTCGAATCTAAGCATGACGTCTCTTCCTCTCACAAGGAGCCCCCCCATTCATTTGCAAGGGTACAAAATTGTTTAGCAATTCATAACCACTGGTGCCTGCTGCACTGCATGTAGCTAATGCACTGAACACAAATCTGCAGGAAACCATGGTTACTACATACTCAGCAGAGACACCAGCAGTGAGGAGAGCAGGCCCCCTAGTGTGCAAAGCTCTTTTTCCTTGATAATAAGTCTGAATGCCACATGCAAACGGCTTTTACCATCAATTCCTAATAAAAGAAAAAAATGGCCCATGTGGGGTTTCATAAGATGAGTTCCTAACATATCTTTAAACATCTATTATTGCAGTCACTCTGGACACCACTCACAGCTCCATTCATTCATCACTGCACTAGAATGAGGACACAGGTAAACCACAGACCATAATTAGTAACCTCACAGAACTGATACTGCAAATTAGAAGACAGATATTTAAGCAAATAATTACAACAAAGTGAGCTGCCTTAAGATAGTGGAAGTATAGAATACTAGCTATGGGGGCCGGCCCGGTGGCGCATTGCTACAGTGCGCCTTGGGAGCGCGGCAGTGCTCCCGCCGAGGGTTCGGATCCCACATACAGACTGGTTCCCGCTCACTGGCTGAGCGAGG